TGCGGCGCCTCGCTGGACTGGGGTCCCTCTCCAGGGTGTGCGGCGCCTCGCACGGTGGGGGTGGCCCCCTTGTCTGCGCGGGGCGTCACCTCCCCACGTTCAGGGCGCTGGACTCCTGCCTGCAGCCTCTCCCGGCGTGGGGCGTCCTCTCCGTGGGAGGGTCCCCGCTCTGGCCTGGGGACCCCTCAGTCCACAGTGGGGGGGTGGTCCCCTGCTCCCGAGGTTCCTGCTTGTGGGTTGAGGTGCGCCCTGGGGTCTTGCGCTGCAGCCTGAGGCTGCCTTTCCGCCTGGCAGCCCTTCCCTCTGTTTGTGGGGTTGCTTGCCCTCCCTCAGTACCCTGTGCTTTCCCCTGGCACCCCCACCCCACCCCAGGCTGACCCTGCCAGAAGCCAGTGAGGACTTGCAGGGTGCCCAGGAGGAGGAGGGTCAGGTGGGAGCCTACCTTTTTGGGGTTGGGCGAACCCCTCCCCTCTGCTCAGGCTCCCAGCCCCAAGGAGACCTGGAAGGGCCTCCTTCCAGCTGCACCCCAGCCACCTGGGGTGGGGAGTGGGCTGGGAGGAGGCCTCCTTGCCTGTGTCCCCCCAGCTCCTGCTGGCTTGTCCCACACCAGGCTGACTGCCCTCTTCCCGCCCCCCTCCCCACTTCTGGGGTTTTCAGCTCCTCATGGCTTCTCCTCCCCTCTCCCCCTGGGTGGGCTGCACCCCTCTCCTCAGTCAGCATCACCTGTCACCCGGCTTGGGGTGTCCACCTGGCTCTGCCGCCTCTCCCATCCCCCTCCACCCCGTGCACCTCCCGGGCGGCTTCCTCTTCCTCCTCCCCTGGCTGGTCCGCCTGCTTCCTGCCTTCCCTCCCGGCTAGGCACTCCCGCTCGGGGCCGCTGGCGCTGCCAGAGCCGCTGCCAGAGCCGCAGGAAGCAGGTCTGACTGGTCACTCCTTGGCCCAGGGGCTCTTCGCTGACCGTGGACCTGCAGACGGTGCACCTGGCCCCGTCCAGGCCTGCAGAGCATGGCGTGGTCTTCTTCTTTTTCTAAAATATATTTTTATTGATTCATGGGGGGAAGGGAGAGGGAGAGAGAGAGAGAAACATCAATGAGGAGAGAGAATCATGGATCAGCTGCCTCCTGCAGGCCCTCCCCTGGGGAGCAGGGCCTGTAATCCGGGCCTGTGCCCTGACTGGGAATCGAACCCTGACCTCAAATCCAACCTTGACCTCCTGGTTCATAGGTCCACGCTCAGCCACTGAGCCCCGCGGGCGGGCTGACTTCACACGGCAGTGAGCCTTTCCTGTCCCCCGGCCGCGGTGCCTGTGAGGAGAGGCTGCTATTCATCATCTCCCTCTTACAGAGGGGGAAACCGGGGCACAGCGCAGGTGGAAGTAACTGGCCTGAGGTCCACAGCTGATCAGTGGTCAAGCCCGATTGGACCCCGGCCTTGTGGCTCCGGGGTCCCCGGTCGGAGGCATGCTGCCGGCTCAGACACACACCCACGCCTCATTGCTCTGTGCCCTGTGGGGACCAGCGGGGGTGGGTTTGCTTCAGCAGAAATCAAGATCCCCTCCGCCTGGCCGTCCTCCTCGGACGCCCGGGAACCGCCCGGAGGTGCCAGGGTTCCTCAGGGCCCCCC